CCCTCTGGCCGTCGATCATGGATGATCGACGGCCGGAGGGCCGTCCGAACTTCAAAAAAAAAAAGCAGGCCTCACGGGCCCGACGCGCCGTTTTCTCGGCGCGGTCGGACCCGGTAGGCCTTGCCGACGTCCAAAGTGGCCGATTCGGGGTCGGAAACCCCCCACTGGGCAGGTGTGCTGGGGGGGCCCGGCCCCCAACCGGGCCGCCCGCCCGGCCAGGCCGCCCGGGACCTCCCCCGGGCAGGCGCTGGTCGGCCGGGCGGCCCGGATCCGTACTCAGTTATTATTATTATTTTTTCACCCCCATGCCTGGGTATCCTGGGCGTCACGCCTGGGTGACCGCCAGATCGGCCGGTCACGAAAATCTTTCTAGTTTTTTTTTTCTTTTCTTTTTTTTTTGGCGCAGAGGCCATGCAAATTTTCTCTCTCTGCAATCAACTTGTTCAAAGAGAGCTATCACAGGACCAAAATACTGTCAAGGAGGCTTTTCAAGTTTCTAACATTTGAAGGGCATACTCACAATATCTGGACGTTATCGTGGTCAGATGCATCCAGGACAGGCTGTAATTGCTGTCAGGTACATTGAGGGGAGTCCTAGTGTAGTATGCTCTGCATCTGTGTCATTTTGGCCCCTGGGCAATCGCCATGTAGTATGTTCTGCATCTGTGTCATTTTGGCATCTGGGCAATTGCCATGAAACCCTTTCTCTCCTCAGTTTATGTGCTGAGGGTGTCCGTTTGTCTCAACGGGGACCGCTCTCCAATCGCCCCTGGAGAAGCGGCACAGCTCATTCGGACCGCTAAACGAAGAAGGGAATGGGAGAACTGGAACTTCATCAGCAGGCAGCTTATGACTTTACCTTCTTGTCTCTGTCCGGTGCATGTTGTCTCGACAAGGACTACTCTCCAAGTTGGGTGCTTGTTGTCTTGATGGGACTGCTCTATGACCGCCCTCGGAGAAGTGCCACAGCACGTTCAGATCGCTAAACGAAAGCAAGGGGAAGAACTGGCTCTTCATGGCAGGCAGTTTCTGAATTCACCTTCTTGTCTCTCTTTTTTTTTCTTTTTTTTTATTGAGCTGACCGGCCCCAAGCAATTCATTAGTAGCTGGTTTTACTTGTCAAGTTCCATCATCTGGATTTGAACACAGGTCTGTATTTCAACAGTTAATGGGTGTACCCACTGAGCTAGGCTCTTGGGTTCCTTCTTGTCTCTCTTGTTTTTCTTAATGGGTGTTTTGAACTGGTTTCCTTTGCAGGGCTCGGATATCTCTCGCCAGAGATACAACTTCCCTGTAGTGCTTCTGAGCAAGAGCAGTACACAACTGTTTCACAAGGTACGTGTTGCGTTCCGCAGACCACAAGCATCAGCCACAGGCGATCAGCCTTGACCCGACGATGTCTTCAGTGACCAGCCAACCTTGATCCCATGGCCTCTTCAAGCAGGCTTCTGACAACAAAGGCCGGCGTGTTTCACAGTTCCAGCCTCCAGGCAGGCCTTGTCGTAATTCTTGCGATCGAGGGTGGGCGCGAAAAAATGGTCTGCTCCTTTCTGGTACCCCCTATCAACAAATCACTACCATCTTCACCCGAAGAGAATGCCCCGTCATTATAGCTGTATTTGGGGCAACTTCCAGTCCAGATACAGCGATAATTACTGGGCGGTCTATTCGGGTGAAGACGGTAGTCGGTTAAACCACCAGTGCATCTGCAGATGGCACTGTAGATTTTGCATGAGTAATGGGCCAAAATCTAAGTGCCCAGGCCTGGTAGAGGCTTGGTGGGAAGGGGACGCGTTGATCCGAAAGTGACTCCAATTAGCCAGAAAAGGCTCTCAACTCTCAGCGGGCTCGCACTGTGTTCTCACAGGCAAAGGCCAGCACTGTAGATTCTAGGCTCGCAAAAATGCAACTTTTGGGTGGTTTAAAGTTTAAACACACCCTTCTGCATGTCTACCAAAGAGAAAGATAGTGTGTCACATGTTAAGCATACTGGTAATGCTGTGTCTGTGAAGCATACTCTTTCGCCTGTAAAGTTTAAACTTTAAACCATATATACATAGATATATCGTCTATATATATATATATAGAGAGAGAGAGAGAGACAATATATGCCAGCGGCGTGTCTGGAGTGTATTTTTTGGCTGTGACAGACCTTTCTTTGTTTCGTCGATGTTTTGCTGGCTTGTGATGGGGTGTGAACCGACAGTC